TGGAACCAGGGAGGGGGTCCGGGGATCGATTTTGAATCTCCGTTGTCTCGCCCTGCTCTGAAGCTCAGGGCACTGGCGGTGTACCGTGTGTGGAGGGACGACACGCGCCCTTGCACCCCGGGCGCCAGCCGAAAACTTCGCGGTGGCCGACTGCCGCCGTGATCCGACTGTCTTTCTTGCTTCCTTTCTCTTTCCCTCGCGCGAGGCTCCAGAAACAAACGATCCGAACCCACAAACATGTCGGGGTGTGTCCTCGTGTGCGCGACTTGGCCAATGAAGAAAAGAACGCGTAGGAGGAGGAATTGGAGCAGGAGCTAACATGTCGCAGGTATCCCATGTCCTGCAACGTGGCGGTCCGTTGCCGCCCCCTTGGCGATATGGTGGTCTGTATTCGGCGAGCCTGCTCCTCTCGGCCAGCTGTGGGGCCCCAGAGGGGCCCCAAACCCAGTGTTTCCCTCCTCCCCTCCTCCTCCTCCCCCTCCTCCTCCTCCCCCCTCCTCCTGCACCTCCCCCTCCTCCTCCTCCTCCTCCTCCTCCTCCTCCTCCTCCTCCTCCTCCTCCTCCTCCTCCTCCTCCTCCTCCCCTTCTCCTACTTCTCCCTTTCCTCCTCCTCCTCCCCCTCCTCCCCCTCCTCCCCCTCCTCCTCCTCCTCCTCCTCCTCCTCCTCCTCCTCCTCCTCCTCCTCCTCCTCCTCCTCCTCCTCCTCTCTCTTCCCCCGCCTCCGCGAACGCAGCCCAGGTTGAGAACCCGCGCCCGCGCACTGATGCACCGGAGGCAGGATGGGGCGACACCACCACCACCAGGAGGGGATGCAAAACCTCCAGCGAGGGAGCTCGCGATGCATCCGCCGACCGGGCTCTTCCGCCGCCCGCGGCCCCCAGAGGCCCCGGCCGCTTCCCCGGGGGGGCAGGTCGTCTCGCGCCAGGTCTGTGCTTGGCGGCCCCATGGGGGCCCGACGGGCGGGCACCCACAGGCGCTGCACCCACACAGCACAGCACAGCACAGCACAAGACAGCGCAGCACAGCACCGCACAGCACAACACAGTACAACACAACACACACCCACATCCACACCCACACCCACACCCACACCCACACCCACACCCACACCCACAGCCACAGCCACAGCCACAGCCACAGCCACAGCCACAGCCGCCGCCACAGCCACAGCCACGCCCGCACACACGCGCACACAAAAGCACACGCACACGCACACGCACACGTACACGCACACGCACACGCACACGCACGCGCACACGCGCGCACGCCCGCACGCACGCGCACACACAGACACACAGACACAGGATACAGGAAACACAGGACACTCAGGACACACCGGGCTCACAGGAAACACATGACACATTGTAGACACGGGACACACAGGGGACACATCACACACACAGACACACACACACAGACACAGAGACACACACAGACGCACACACACACGCACACAGACACACACACAGACACAGAGACACACACACAGACGCACACACACACACACACGCACGCACACAGACACGCACAGAGACACACATTGAGACATACACACACACCGACACACACACACAGGCAGACATAGACAAACATGAACACACATAGACACATGCAGACACACACACAGACACACGCAGACTCACGCCGACACTCACAGACACACAGAGACACAAACTGAGACGCACACAGACGCACACAGACACACAGACAGACACACAGAGACACAGACAGACACACACAAACAGACACACATGGACACAGCACAACACCGACACATACAGACAGACACAGACAGACACAGACACACATTGACACACAAAGACACACACACAGACACACACAGACACACACACACACACAGACACAGACGCAGACACACAGCCACACACAGACGAACACATACACACATACACACTGTCACACATAGACACACACAAGCACACAGACAAATCCACAGACAGACGCACATGGACACACACACACACGCAGACACACACACAGACACACAGACATACAGGACACACCCACGCACACACATTATTGGCTCAAGCCATTTTGGCCCAAACCCTGGGGCCATGTCGTTCTGGATAGTCTTTACAAGTCGTTATGTCCTTCGAAGCGTCGATCAAGAACTGCGGCCTGATAAAACGATGGAGCGCTGCACTACGGTTGCTCCGCGAAGGAATTCAATTGGGTGTGCAACTCGTCCCAAGCCACTACATTGCGACTGTCAGCGCATGCAGAACAGGCGGGCAATGGCAGCGCGCGTTGTCAGTGCTCAGATCGATGTGGGAGGCGAAGCTGGAGCGCAACGTCATCTCTACTACATTGCAGGGCCCAGTGCGTACCAGAAGGGCGCAGGATCAAGTGACCAATAATCGCCCTGGGCTGGCCCCGGGCCGCCCTGGGAGGCCCCAAGACACGCCAAGTGGGCCCCAAGAGGCCCCCAAGACGGCCCCGGAGGGCCCCGGCACGCCCAGCGAGGGGCCCAAGACGCTCGAGATTGGCCCAAGACGGCTCCAGAGGCCTCCAAGACTCCCCAAGAGGCCTCCCAAGAGGCGTCCCAAGAGGGCCCCGAGCGGCAGAAATCGTCGATTTCCATTGTGTTTTTCGATGGTTCCGGCCTCCTCGCCTTTTCGGCTTCCCGACGCTCCAAGACGGCCCAAGACGTCCCCCAGACCGCTCCAAGAGGGCCGAAGAGGACCCCAAGAGAGCCCCAAGACGGGCCAAGAGGGCCCCAAGACGGCCCCAAGACGGCCCAGGACGGCCCCAGGACGGCCCAGGAGGCGCCCAAGACAACCCAAGAGGCACCCAATACGGCCCCAGGAGCGGCCCAAGACGGCCCAACAGAGCCCTAGAGGCGCCGAAGCCGGCCGCAGACGGTCCCAAGACGGCCCAAGAGGCACCTAAGACGGCCCAAGAGGGCTCCAGAGCCCCCCAGGAGACCCAAAAGAAGCCCCTCGAAAGGGCCCCCACGAGGCCCTAAGTGGCTTCAGAAATGCCTCCACGAGAAGGTGAGCGGACGAGAGGCGACAGGCATATCGCGGACACGACGCTCCCAGGGCCTTAGATGTTTGTCTCATGGGGAGCGCCGTCGGACCTCCGAACTTGGATCCTCGAGGCTCCACGCTCGAGGTCCTCCGTGACGCGCTCTTCAAACGGAGGCCCCCAAGAGCGAGCCGCAACGTCAAGATCTCTGAAATCCACAGCTCATCAGAGCGAGCGGTGACGTAACCAGCCCTTTACGCCGAGGCCCGGTCCACGGGTTCGCCCGAGGAAGAGCTACATGATGATCGGCTAGGTGGACCACTAGCGCAGGCGCGCCTCGCGCCTCTGCTGCTTCGACCGCTGTTGTTTTTTACCGCTGCTTGCCATCGTCGCCGTGGCTGCTCCCGCTGCTGCCGCTCTCCCTAGGACGATAACCGCAGCCAGTCGACCAATTCGAAGGCCGGCAGCACAGGAGCAACCGTCCCCAGAAAATGCGGAGGAATGCGGGGACGCCGAAAGACAACATGTCCACACACACACACACACACCGTCCCCTCCAACCTCCCCCCCCCGCGAGGCCCCCGAGACGCTCCACTTCCACGTCCACGCCATGGCGGGCAGATTCCGCGGCCGGAAGGCCGCGGGTCAGCCCTAGTCAGCTAGGGACCTGCGCGTGCGAGAAGGTCGAGCAGTGGCAGCGGGCTCTGGCGCTACTGAGCGAGATGCGGGAGGCGAAGCTGGAGCCCGACGTCATCAGCTACAAATCTGGGATCAGGGCGTGCGAGAGCGGTGGGCAGTGGCAACAGGCGTTGAGCCTGCTCAGAACCATGCGTTTGAGAAAGTTGGACGTTGGATTCATAGTGTACGGAACTGCAGCCAGCATGCGCGAGCAAGGCGGGCAAGGGAGCCAAACGCTGTCTTTATTCAAAGAGGTGCGTGACCTTGTTGCAGGGGACAACACATGTCAAGCACGATCCAGCTGGTTCAGTTGCAGCGCTGGGGCCAGCGCGTGGAGATGGGCGAGCAATGGCAGATGGCTTTGGCGCTGCTGAGCGAGATCCGGGAGGCTGAGCTGGAGCCAGATGCTATCATTATCCCCTCAGTTCTGGGGCAAAGTGCGTGGGCCACTCTCTTTCTCGGCCTCCAGCGGCGTCGGCACTGCCTCCGGGTCCCTGTGAGCTCCGGGTCCCCAAGACGTCGCAGAGACAGGCTTCGACAGACAGGGCTCCCGAGAGATCTCAAGCGGTTCCAAGAGGCTTCTAAAAGGCCCCTAGACGCCCCAAGAGGCCTTGCAGGAATTGTCCAGAAGACCACAGGAACATCACAACTTTTCAACACCCAAAGGGAGATGTACGTCTTTTGCTTCGCAGGCTTTTCGACGCGAGACAGCTCCAAGACGGCTTCGGGGGAGACTATTGGCCTCTTTGCGGGCCACCTTGGGCCCTCTGGGGGCCCCCATCGAGCCTCCTGTGTTGTCTTCGGGACCTCCTTGGGCCGTCTCGGTCCATCTTCGGGCCGTCTTGGGGCCCCCTGGGCGGTCTTTGACTGCCTCAAGAGAGCCCAAGGGCGGCCCCAGAGGGCTCCCAGAATATTGAAAAAGGCTTCGGAGAGCTTCCAGACGGCCCGACGCCCTCCAGAAAACGCCACGACGGCCAAACAGAAAACCCCGAGACGGCCCAGGACGGCCCCGAGAGGGACCGACGAGGCCCCCAATAGTTTCGGCCATGGGACCCCCCAGCACGGCCTCCATATCCAGAAGCACACAAGCCAGCAGCGACAGCAAATGGTAGCCAGCAGCAGAAAACAAGCAGCCGCTGCACTGCCCGCGGCCACCTGGCGGCCATCCCCGCTGCCGCGGCGTGCCGCAGAGGGCCAGTTGCGACCGCCAGGCCTGCCAGCATGCTGGCAGTGACGTCGGGAAGACAACTGTGTGGCTAGCAGCCACGCGCGCAGAACAGCAGGCAAGCAGGCAAGTGATCTCAGCTTCTGCACGACGGGTCAGCTCTAGTCAGTTACGATGCTGGGATCAGCGCGTGCGAGAAAGGCGGGCAGTGGCAGCGGGCCCTGGCGCTGCTGAGCGACACGTGGGAGACGAAGCTGGAGCCTGACGTCATCAGCTGCAGCGCTGGGATCAGTGCGCGCCAGAAGGGCGTGCAGTGGCAGCCAGGGCTGGCGCTGCTGAGCGAGATGTGGGAGGCGAAGCTGGTGCCCAACGTCATCTGCACTGCAACGCCAGTGGTCGCCCGGGCCCGAAGGGCGGGGGCGCCTGTTGACCAAAACTGGCCCCGGCCTGCCCCGGGAGGCTCCAGGAGGGCTTCTGAGGGCCCCAAGACGGACCAAGATGGCCCGGGACGCCTCCCAAGAGCGGCTCAATACGGTCCAAGAAGGCCTCCGAGACGGTCCAAGAGCGCTCGCAGACGCCTAAGATAGCCCCCAGACGGCCCAAGAGGCCACCAAAACGCTCCAAGTGGGTCCCAAGAAGAGTTTCAACAGAGCCCGCACAAACAATTATCCCGGCAAAGCAACCTAACAGCGATGTGTGTAAGCATATCTGGAAGCATTCCCCTTAAGATTCAAGTGAGAATCCAGTTGTAGAATTCTGTTGTTCTCGCAGTCGCAGTCGCATTCGCAATGACAGTCGCAATGGCAACGGCCTTAGGATCCAATGGAATCCTAAGGATTCCCAGGGATTCCTAAGGCATCCTTAGGCATCCTTAGGAATCCATAGGAATCCTTAGGAATCATGATTCCTAGGGATTCCTAGGGATTCCTGAGGATTCCTAGGGAATCCGAAGGATTCCTAAGGATTCCTGAGGATGCTTAACTATGCCTACGGATTCCTCAGGATGCCTACGGATTCCTAAGGATTCCTAGGGATTCCTAAGGATGTTTCAGCCTGCCTCAGTTTCAGCCTCAGCCTCAGCCTGCCTCGGCTTGCCTCAGCCTCAGCCTCAGCCTGCCTCGGCCTCAGCCTCAGCCTGCCTCAGCCTCAGCCTCAGCCTGCCTCGGCCTCAGCCTGCGCCGGCCTCAGCCTCAGCCTGCCTCAGCCTCAGCCTGCCTCAGCCTCAGCCTCAGTCTCAGCCTCGGCTTGCCTCAGCCTCAGCCTCAGCCTGCCTCGGCCTCAGCCTGCCTCCGCCTCCCCTCCTCATCCCCCCCCTTCCCCCCCCATTCAGCCTCACCTTGTCTCAGCTTCGGCCTGCCTCGGCCTCATCCTCAGCCTTAGCCTCAGTCTCAGCCTCAGCCTGTCTCGGCCTGAGCCTGCCTCGGCCTCAGCCTCAGCCTGCCTCAGCCTCAGCCTGCCTCAGCCTCAGCCTCAGCCTGCCTCAGCCAGCCTCAGCCTCAGCCTCAGCCCTCAGCCTCAGCCTCAGCCTCAGCCTCAGCCGCAGCTTGCCTCAGCCGCAGCTTGCCTCAGCCTTAGCCTCAGCCTCAGCTCAGCCTCAGCCTGCCTCAGCTTCAGCCTCAGCCTCAGCCTGCCTCGGCTTGCCTCAGCCTCAGCCTCAGCCTCAGCCTGCCTCGGCCTCAGCCTCAGCCTCAGCCTGCCTCAGCCTCAGCGTCAGCCTCTCAGCCTCAGCCTGTATCAGCCTCAGTCTCAGCCTGCCTCAGCCTCAGCCTCAGCCTGCCTTTGCCTCGGCTTGCCTCAGCCTCAGCCTCAGCCTGCCTCAGCCTCAGCTTGCCTCAGTCTCAGCCTCAGCCTGCCTTGGCGTGCCTCAGCCTCAGCCTGCCTCGGCCTCAGCCTGCCTCGGCCTCAGCCTGCCTCAGCTCGGGCATTCAAAATATGGCAAAGGACTTGTGTTCTGGGAACACGAAGATCACGAAGTCACCTACAGATGGCTCTGGGCATTCAGAATTTGGTACAGGACTGGTGTTTTGGGAACTCGAAGAACACGATGTAGCCTACAGTTGGCTCCGGGCATTCAAAATGTGGCCTGGGAATGGTGTTCTGGGAACACGAAGAACACGAAGTGGCCTACAGTTGGCTCCGGGCATTCAAAATGTGGCCTGGGAATGGTGTTCTGGGAAGACGAAGAACACGAAGTGGCCTACAGTTGGCTCCGGGCATTCAAAATGTGGCCTGCGAATGGTGTTCTGGGAACACGAAGAACACGAAGTGGCCTACAGTTGGCTCCGGGCATTCAAAATGTGGCCTGCGAATGGTGTTCTGGGAGTGGGTTCTTAAGGATTCACAAGAATTCCGAAGGACTCCTAAGGATTCCTGGGGTCAATACTTTTGTCCGGTTCTGTCCGGATCCCGCCCAGACCCCCCTGGTGCGTCAATGAGCCCATTAGGAACCTATCAGCAAAAGCTGTTAGGTAAAAATCGCCCCAATGTCCATGGGAAAAGTCCGGAGCGCCCCATGACGGCCCCAAGACAGCCCAATACGGCCCCAGGACCGCTCCTGAGGTGCCCTCGACGGCCTGGTTGCTCGTCTATTCGGGGACGCCGTCGTAGGATCGACGAGTGACGATCGAAGATCGAGGGGATAGAGAACCGAGTGGTGAAGGAGATGGAGGAGGAGGAGGAGGAGGAGGAGGAGGAGGAGGAGGAGGAGGAGGAGGAAGGAGGAGGAGGAGGAGGAGGAGGAGGGGGAGGAGGAGGAGGAGGGGGGGGAGGAGGAGGGGGAGGGGGAGGAGGAGGAGGGGGAGGAGGGGAGGAGGAGGAGGAGGAGGAGGAGGAGGGAGGAGGAGGAGGAGGAGGAGGAGGAGGAGGAGGAGGGGGAGGAGGAGGAGAAGGAGGGGGAGGAGGAGGAGGAGGAGGAGGAGAGGAGGAGGAGGAGGAGGAGGAGGAGGAAGAGGAGGAGGAGGAGGAGGAAGAGGAGGAGGAGGAAGAAGATATGATTCAACTGCGACGTATCACGCGAGATGTATATGTTCAAGTCAAGGTCCGTCACGCTACACTCCCAACTGCCCCAGGAGACTCGAATGGTCCCCACAGAACTCCCAAGAGCGGCCCCAGGGCCACTCCGAGATTTGCCAGAGTCGCCCACACTCCGAGATTCGCCAGAGTCGCCCACAAGACTCCGACACTTGCCACGAGACTCCGACAGTTCCCACGGAGCTCCCAAGAGCAGTCCCAGGAAGAGACTCCCATAGCTCCCACGGAGCTCCGAAAATCGACCCCAGGACCACTCCAAGATGGCCCAGAGTCGCCCTCAAGACCTCCCCCGCTACGGCCGATGGGGGGCCACAGGGGGGGGCCTTCTCCTCCAATCTCCTCGCCCTTCCCTCCTCGAGGTTGCGGCCGCTCTCGGGCCTCCTCTCCGCCTGTTGGGCCTGCAGCCACTTCGGTCGCTGCCCCTCTACGGCCGATTACGGGCGACAAGGCGGGGGCTCCTGCAGACACTGCGGGGACCTGCATCTCGCTCCCCCCCCCCCCCCCCTACGGCCGAACGGAGCCCAGGCTGGCCCCCAGGGCAGCCCCGAGGCCACGAGATCCCTGGACCACTCCCAAATGGCGCAGACCCCCCCAGGGTGTTCGAAGCCAGCCTCCAGGCCTGGCTCCCGGCGCCTGCAGCAAGCCCCGCACCTAGCCTCAGGGGTGGCAGGGAGGACCTTCCTCGCAGCACGTACGCACGAACAGTTTCCCGGGCTGTCCCCCAGAAGAGGCTCGGGGGTACAGCCCGGGAATGGCCCCAGCTCAGACAGGCTCGCAGAAGGGCCCAACATGCCCCCGACACGGCCCCAGGGACGCCAGAGCTGTTCAACCTCGACGAGCTGCTCACACGGTGTGCGAGTCCCAGGCTCAGCATACCGTGGATTTCATTCACGGGCTCACACTGGTTCAGCTACAGCGCAGGGATCAGCGCGTGCGAGAAGGCTTAGCAGTGGCAGCAGGCTCTTCGCGCTGTTGAGCGAGATGTGGGAGGCGAAGCTGGAGCCCAGCGTCATCTATACTACAATGCTGGGCACTGCGCGTGCGAGACTGCGCTGCCGTAGCTCGGCCCGGGGCGGCTCCGGCGCTCCTGGGGCGGTCCTGGACGGCCCTGGGCGGCCGCCAGAAGAGCGCCTGGAAGGCACCAGAGAGACCGAAGCGAGCCTTCAAATGGTCCAAGACGGCCCCAAGACACGCCAGGAGACCTCCCACGACGGCCCGGCCTCACAAGGCCAAAATCGTGCGTGCTCCTTAAGGTTTTCAGCGATTTTTCAGGCTCCCCCCATTTTATCCCCCTGAGCGGTTCCAGACGGCCCCCAGCGCCTCCTGCATCGCGTCAACACTGCCCAAGAGACTCCCAGGAGAGGCCTTCGATGGCCCACAAAAGGTCCCCGAGGTGGCCTCAGAGCGCCCGAAGACGGTCCCAAAGAGCCCCAAAGTTCCCTCCAAGAAGGCCCCAAGATGAGCCTTCCTGGGCCCCTCGGACGTCCCAGGACGGCCCCAAGGCGCTTCTACAAGAAGCTTCCCGGGCTGTCCCCCAGCAGAGCCTCTGGGAGACAGCCCCAGAAGCGCCCCAAATACCGCACGAGGCTTCCAGGATGAGGATGCCCCCGACAGGACTCAGAGACACCCGGGCTGTTCAACTTCGACGAGCTGTTCGCCCACGGTGTGCGAGCCCCGGGTTCCGCACACCGTGGGTTTCATCCACGGGTCCGCACCGTGGTCCTTCCTACACTACCAGTAACAGCGCGTGCGAGAATGGCTTCTGCACCGAGTGGCTTACCGCGGCTCCGAGCTGCTGAACAGGGCGCCCCGGCGGCCACACGACGGCTCCGAGGCGCTCCACCTGTTCGGCCGGACCGTTGCGGGAAATTTTCGGCAGCGGACGATTTGGGTCGGGGGCAGCGGCTCGGCACAGTCGGGATTGATTCAAGTGGCTCAGGCCATTCCGCCGACCCCCACAGGAAGTGAGTGCTTGAGACGATCGTGGAAGTCATATCTTGGATCAGGAGCCTACTCTCCTGGATGAATCTGACGGTACCTTGGGATGCCTCTCTGGGGCCTCTTGGAACATCTTGGGGGCATGTGGGAGGCTTTTGGAGGCCTCGGGGGGGCATCTGGGGGGCTTGTTTGGGGCGTCTTGGAAGCCTCGTTCGATGAGCACGTCGGAAGATTTGGCAAACGTCCACCACCTCCGAGCGTGCTGCTCCGAGCGTGCCGCTCCGTCCCCCCACCCCGACCCCCGAGCGAGCCACGGGGGCTCGGCGGTGCCTTCTGTGCGGGCCCTGGTGCTGCCTCCTGGCCTTCGGGGAGTCGGGCGCAGGCCACCCGCTGCGCCCCGCCCGCGGTGGCCACCCCTCGACGAGCGGATCGACCACACGTCGGAGTGGACCTTCGCAGGGAGTGGCCTTCGGTGCCGGGCTCGTCGGGGTCCATCCGATCGTCGAGCGCGATGCGATGGCAGCTGACAGCGCGCTCGGATTTGGCCGCCTTGTGCCCCCTCAGTCCGCGCACCAAAGGTCACGCTTACCCACGGTCGCTCTTGCGTGTATCCGAACGAACAGCACACATCCATGCCCATAGCGGGGTCGGAGAGAGGGGGACTGGCTATGGGTATGGTTGCGGGTTGTCGGACCCCGGGGGGCGCTCCCGTTCAAGCGGGGACCCCCATCATTTGTTCTGCGTTGCGTTTATTTGCGTTGTTTTGCCTTGGCTTGCATTGCTGGGCATTGCTGTGCACTGATGTGTTTTGCTTTGCATTGCTTTGCTTTGCTTTCCGTGTTTTGCATTGATTAGCAGTGCGTTGTTTTGCCTGGCTTTGCATTGCATTGCTTTGCATTGATCTGTGCTGTTTTGCATTGCGTTGCTTAGCCTTGTTTTGCATTACTTTGCATTGCGTTGCTGTGCCTTGCGTTGCGTGTCGTTGCTTTGCATTGTTTTGCATGGCATTGATGTGCAATGCGTTGCGTTACTTTCCGTTACTTTGCATGGCTTTGCGTTGCTTCGCATTGCGTTGCATTGTTTTGTTTTGCCCCGCATTCATTGCGTTGCATTGCGTTGCCTTGCATTGATCTGCATTGCGTTGCTTTTCTTTGCTTCGCATAGTTTTGTATTGAAGTGCATCGCTTTGCAGTGCTTTGCGTTGTTTTGCGTTGCTCTGCGTTATGTTTGTATTCACTTGCGTTGCTTTGCATTGCGTTGCATTGTTTTGCACTGCTTCGCATTGCGTCGCATTGCTTTACACTGCGTTGCATTGCTTTGCAATGCTGTGCACCCCGTAGATTCTCCTTTCTAACAGGATGTCTAGGATCTCCCCCCTCCCCCCCCAGGTTAACCGTCCACCTTTTCGTATTGCAAGTTGCATATGGTTCTGCCTTGTCGTCCATCCTAAATATGAGTTCACACCATCCCAGGCAGGCCAGAGTTCGACCACCCCCCCGTCATCCTCTGTAAAACATAGTTTGCGCGCGCACTCGTCTATCAAAAATCAGCCGTTTTCAAGAGCCCCTTGCAAGACACGGGACGAAGTTCACACGCGCGCGTCTTCGCGCACATATGCCGAAATCATCCAACCACTTGGGTGTCGTAAGAATTTCGAAATTGAACGCCATGAAAACATACGAAAACACATGGTTTCGCAACACCGGTTTGAAACAAAGCCTGCGCTCGCTCTCGTGCGGATTGAAGTCAACCATGGATTTTTCAACATCTTCTTGAAATGCTACCAAACTGGCCTCTCGCGCACGCATGTCGAAATCATTCGAACGCCCTTGCGCGCATGCTGTCGCAATACTCCCTTGCAACAGATGGGACGAAGTGCACGCGCGCGTCGTCGCGCGCGCATGCCGAAGTCCTTCAACAACTTTCCAGGATTCGTAGCGTTTCCAAAAATCAGTGTCCTGAACACATATAGAACCACATAGTTCTGCAACAACATCTGTTTTCAAAAAATCCTGCGCTCGCGGCCGCGGGGATTTTTTGGAAAACCATTGGTTCCCCAACTATTGCATCACATTCTGCCAAACGGGCCTCTCGCGCCGCATGTCGAACTCGTTCGAACGCCCTTGCGCGCGTGCTGGCGGGGGGGCACGATCCGTGTCAAATAATACCACGCGGGCCACTCGAGCGCGTCGGCCGCGCGCGCATGTCGAACTCCTTCGATTCAAAAAAACTTCATCGCCGACGCGAGGACATCGTTATTCTTGTCGGCGGGCGTGGTCAACATCGGCGCCGTCATTGGCCTTGCCGTCGTCATCGCCACCATCGCCACCACCATCGCTACTCTCATAATCGTGTCTACCGTTGTCGGCGTCGCCATGATACCGCGCCCGCCCAAGTCACCGACTCGCACTGAAGTGCCCGTTGGGAAGTGCCTAGCGGTCAGCGCCACCGCGGCCGCGCCGGTCGCGCCAAACTAGCTGGCCGTTGTGCGCGCGAGCGTGCGCGGGTTGGCGCGGCCGCATAGATGCACCAGCCAACGCCAAGCACTCATCGCAATCGCCGTCTCATGGGTTTTGCAAACCAAGCTGCGTGCGGGTGAGTGGGTGGGATGTTTGCAAGGGCAGAGCATGGAATTTGCCAATTGATTTGTAAAAATCAAGTGGACCACATAGACTGCCCCATCTAGATTGCACCACCTACGTTGCACCACATTGGTTGGACCCTCCAGATTGCACTGCGTTGGTTGCAAGAAGCCACTTTTTGGGGTTCCCGTTGGCTAACATATGACGGATCCCTAGATTTCCTTGGGATTCCGAGGGGATGCGAATGTCTATGGCGGGCCTCATCGTCGTTTTCGTCGTCGTTCTTCTTCCTCCTCCTCCTCCTCCTCTTCGTTGTCGTCCTCGTCGTCGTCGTTCTCGTCTTCGTCGTCGTCATCGTCGTCATCGTCGCCGTCGTTCTCGTCGTCGTCTTTGTCGTCCTCGTTGTCGTCGTCTTCGTTGTCGTCGTTGCCTTCGTCGTCGTCGTCGTTTTCGTCACCGTCATCGTTGACGTCGCGCTCGTCGTCGCCGCCGTCCTCGTGGCGGGCACGCGCGCGCGCGTGCGGGCGGGCAGGCGCGCAGCGTGCGGGCGTGCGGGCGCGCGGGCCGGCGGGCGCGCGGGCGGGAAGGCGTGCGGGCGGGCGGGCGCGCGGACGGGTCGGCGGGCGGGCGGCCGGGCGCGCGCGCGGGATGGTGGTTGGGCGAGTGCGCGGGCGGGCGTTCGGGCGAACCGCCGACAAATCAACCAACCAAAGCCATTATGGCTCAAGTCATTTTGACCCAATGTATTTTTGGATTGCGCCGCGACGCCTTGTCTCGTCGGATGCTGGACATCGGTCGAGGGTCTCTAGCAGGCGCTATGTCCCTCGAAGCGTCGATCAAGAACTCCGGTCGGACAAAACAATGGAGCGCAGCATTGCGGCTGCTCCGCGAAGGAATTCGATTAGGTGTGCAACTCGTTCCAAGCCACTACGTTGCGACTGTCAGCGCATGCAGACAAGGCGGGCAATGGCAACACGCACTATCAGTGCTCAGCGAGATGTGGGAGGCGAAGCTGGAGCCCAACGTCATCTCTTCTACAGTGCAGCGACGCATGCGTGCGAGAAGGTCGTTGTCCCGAAAGGCTCCCCGGGCCCTCCTGGGCGCCCTGCGAGTCCCCCGGGCGCTCCGAGACGGCTTCGGGGGGTGCCAAGATGGCCCCAAGACGGCTCAGAGACGCTCAAGATCGGCGCCGAGGAGCCCAAAGAGGACCCCGAGCGAGCCCCAGGATGGCCCCAGAGGCCCCCAAGGCAGGCCAGGAGGCTCCCGAGACGGCCCAGGAGGACCCCAAGGAGAGCCCCTGGACGCACAAATCGTCCCATTCTTTTCAAGAGACGTGAATAGTTCAGAATATGTTTTTCTGTCCGTTTGCAAAGTCTCCACGACGGCTGCACAGCCCCCCCAAGATCTCCCTAAGACGGCCCCAGACGCATCCAGGAGGGTCCCAAAACGGCCCGAGACGGCCCAAAGGCGCCCGAGACGACACAAGAGGCACC